AAAGCGCTTTGGGACAATGTCATGTTGTGATAATGCGCTATACAAAAATAAATTTTGTTGTTGTTGAGACTCAAATCTTAAAATCCTAATTGATACAATCCAAATTTGATCATTTTGTTCATTTGACTTCCTCTGCCGGCCCCTGGAGGATGGGCTCCCCCAAGGCACCTTCCTTCTAGGGAGTTTTTCCTTGCCACAGTCACCTCTGGCTTGCTCACTGAGGGCTTTGGAGAGGAATAACGTAAAGTCATTTGAGACAATGAAATGTTGCAAAAATGTGCTATACCAATAAAACTGAATTGAATTGAATGTTCAAATAGTAATTAGTAGTGGTCAGTGCAATTTCACACCCAGTAAAATTCCCTATGTTCATCTAGTTGGTAATGTTTTAATTTTCAAAATTTTTTAAAAAGTTGATTTAATTATATATTGAATTAATTTAACTATATAGGAGGTTTCCAGTTACTCCGGTTTAATTAGCAGATCCTAAATTTTACCATTTAATCATAAATCCAGTACTTTTAGGTCTGGTGTGAAGGAACTTGGCTGGCCTGCACAGGGCCCTGACCTCAACCCCAAAGAACACCTTTGGGATGTATTAGAGTGAAGACTGCGAGCCAGACCTTCTCATCCAACATCAGTGCCCGACTTAGTGCTAGGTGGTATACCGGTTCATACCGAAAACCACTTTTTATTATTGTCACGATATGAATTCTCATACCGCAATACCGGTTTAAATTGCCTACACAACGTTTGCACGCACACACTCGCGCAGCCCCTCCCCTCCTCTCAATAGCCGCTGAACACATTCGCGCTGGTTAACACACACATACAGAGTTGGCCGAACATCCTCTTTAATGTTTTGGTAACTGAACAATTATTTTAAGAGCAAGCCTTATTTGTTCAATAATGTATTAATGTATCTGACCAATAATGTTTTTTTTTTCCTGTAGGTGAACAATTTCAACAAATTACACTCAGTAACAAAAAAAAAGTTAAGCACCCAGGCGGAGTGGTGGAAATGAAATGAATCTGCATGTGGTGAACAATCATGTGACCTCATCACAATGATTATAATATCATATCAAAAGGACAGCAGAGATGGAAATATGGGCATACTACTGGTCCCATGTCAGTAGGGTGTGGCACCGCCCTGAACCTGGATACATGCAGCGATACGGTGCGGAAAGGAGTCGTACAACTGTTGTATCCTTTCCTGCAGCAAGTAGACCCACAGCTGTTGTAAATGGCACTTGAGATCCTGCAGACTGGCACTGGGTTGACATCTGAGCTGATCCCACACATGTTCGATTGGGGAAAAACTGGGGGACCTGGCTGGCCAAGGGAGAACCTCAACATGAAGCAGGTAGTCCGTAGACACACGTGCCGTGTGTGGATGGGTGTTGTCTTGTTGAAAGACTGTACCAGGATGGCATCTCAGGAGGGGTAAGAAATGCGGATACAGGATGTCAATGACATAGCGCTGTGCCATCAGGGTCCCCCGAATCACTACCAGAGATGACCATGAAGCCAGGAGTAATGCTGGTGTGTCTCTCCACAACATTGGCAGGATTGGTCTTCTCCCCTCACCATGTGCACACATAATTGTCATCCATGGTAATGCAGAATCGAGATTCATCGCTGAACATGGTACAACGCCACTCGCCATCAGTCCATGCCTCCCAGTTACGACACCACTGCAAAAACAGCGGTATCTGCGCTGGTGTTAATGGCAGCCTATGCATGGGATGGTGAACCCGCAGTCTGGCTGAGACATACTGTGGGATGACATGGGGTGGTGTAGAGCGTCCGATACCTGTGTCCGAATGGTAGGCGCGGAGGTCATGGGGTTCTGTAATGCTTGGCACACAATACGACGATCCTCCCTTGGTGTGGTCTGTCTTGGGCGACTGGAACCTTCACGACATGTGTGGGTGCCCTCACGTGCACACTGGTTCCAACAT